TGTCTGTCTTCTATTGTTTCTGTAAGGACTGCAGGTATTTGTATCACTGGTGTCTGTGTAAGATTAGCCTTGCTGAATCTATCCTTGGTCTAGCGTATACCTCTGTTCACAGACCCTCGTCTGATCATCTCAGGTGTTTGTGTGTTTATCTGTATAACCTAGTGTTTGGTTTAATGGCAGTGTGGTATTGTGGACACATTGGTTGGTATTAGCATCTGTCGTCTATCTCTTATGTGCACAATTCGGTGTCCTCTCACTTCACAGTGTTATTATGGTGGTCATATATCCTTCCCATATACCCCTCCCCCTACCCATGTCAGCATATAAGCCCCAACTAGCCCAAAATTAATCCCTCCCCATCTCTCCCCATCCTGGCAACCTACTAGGTGAGTTCCCTTTCCCAAGCAAACCCTTCTCTGTCTTTTTATAGTAATTGGCTCATACAGTACTTGTCCTTCTGCGATTGACTTATTTCACTCAGCATAATGTTCTCCAGGTTCATCCACATTGCAAGATGATTCACGTATCCCTCATTGTTTAATGTGGCATAGTATTCCATTGTGTGGATATACCATAATTTGGTTATCCACTCATCCGTTGATGGGTGTTTAGGTCGTTTCCATTTCTTTCCTATGGTGAATTGTGCTGCGATGAACATAGGTGTACATATGTCTGTTCATGCGCTTTCTCCCACTTTTTTAGGATATATTCCTAGTAATGGAATTGCTGGGTCAAATGGTACTTCTAGTTTCAATTTTTTAAGGAAACGCCATACCATTTGCTACAATGGTTGTACCATTTTACAATCCCACCAGCAGTGCACAAGAGTTCTAATCTCTCCACAACCCCACCAGCATTTGTTACTATCTGATCTGTTGAACTTTGCTGTTTTTGCTGGGGTGAGATGATATCTCATTGTTGTTTGGATTTGCATCTTTCTAATGATTAATGATCATGAGCAATTTCTCATGTGTTTGTTGGCTGTCAAGGCTGTATTCTGGACGGAAGCAGGCTGCTATGTTCAAACCCTCAAACTTTCAGTTAGCAGTTGAACACGTAACCACTGTGCCACCAGGGATCCTTACAACCTCATAGTACCAATAAATAATAGGGAGCTCTTGTGGTATAGTGCCTAAGGCATTCAACTGCTAACCAGAAGGTTGGCAGTTCAAACCCACCAGCCACTCCTCAGAAGGAAGGTCGGGCAATTTACTTCCATGGTGATAAATATTAATAAAAAGCAAGCTTTTGCTTCATGCCTGGCACTGTTCTAAGCACGATACATTTAATCATTTAATCTTCATAATGAGGAAGGAACAGAAAGGTATGTGCAGGTCACTTAGCAGAGCTTAGATTCAAACCCAGACTCTCTGGCTTCTGAAGCAGAGCTCATAACCATGAAGTGTAAGCTATCAGGTGCATTAGCCCAAGAGAGACTGGGGGCCAGAGAAGGCTGCTGCAGCAATGCTATGAGCAGCAGTGGGTGGGCTCCATTCCTGAGGTGCCAGCTGTGTGAGCCTGGGCCAGCCCCTCCAGGTCCCTCTGAGTCTTTCCTGGATAGGCAGCCAGGCCACCTTCCTCTGGGAGGAGGACTGTGTGAGGCAATTTCCGCAGAATTAAGAGACTCCCCCAGATGAGTGGTCTCCCCACCTTGTACATACAAAGCACAGGGATGATATTAATAGTCACTACCATTATTTATGATTATCGTTCTTACTAAAATACTGATTAGGTCACTGGGCCAGCCTCTAGGTGACTGATGGGATTATTTTTACTGGTACCTCGTTAATGTGGGGAAAAGAAATTGTTTGGATCTAGACTAACCCAGGAGGAAGGTTTGCCTCTCAGGTGGTTACAAGATACCCCTCAGCACCTCTGTAACAGACAGAAGGCAACCTCCTGTCCAGCAGTCTCCATGCTGGGCCAAGAGCAGGCTTGGAGCCTAGAGGCAGAGGAATCCTTTCTGGAGAGAGAGGGCAAGTCCACAGAGCTTTGATCAAATGTGGGTTGGAAGCTAAGTACTACCTCCTCAGGTACCACCAGATCAGAGGCTGATGTGTAACTTTCCAGAGCTGATGGTCTCGAGCCTGGGGCATCAGACAAGCCAAAGTAATGACCTTATCACTGGCTGAGACCTAACCATGGCTGGGTGGAAAACATTCTGAAAGTTGGGTTGTGGCT